ACATATATACCTATACATACATACATAGCATAGGGTGAAGGTTTCAACAGTTGTTTGAGGGGTTGTAGGGTTTGTCTGTATGAAAGCATGCGGGATTCGGGGCTGGGGTTGTGGGGGTTAAGGTTTAGGGATCAGGGTAGGGAGTCAGGTTGTGCGATGTATGCATACCAAGGGTGGCCAGCATCAAGCATATTTTCGCTTGCACACCACCCGCCCCCGACCCGCCCCCGACCTGCCCACCCAGAAGGTCCGCGAACCCTAAACCCCAAAGCCCACTCAGCGAAACCCCGCAACCCAAAAGCCGACACCCAGAAGCCCAGAGACCGAAGGCAATCTTTTGTCCTAATGCTTCCTTCTCTGTCTCTTTCGACAGTCGACGATTCCACTCAACATCTCGACCGACAGAAGATGGAAGCCCTTAAAGACGCAGTAGAATTAACACCACCAGCACCAAATTACCAATGCTGTTTTGGGGGTTCTTTACTATGATTTTGGTAGAATGAATCCAAGTACTCTGCTCTAGTTGATTATCCCCCCTATGCTAACAAAAACAACAGAACTGGATAGCAACAACAACGAGAGGGTCGTTATCTAAACTAGAGTGCCTGTTAGGGTTCCTTTTATAAGGGTGCCGTATTATAAATGGGGCCCTAGTTTAGAGACTTATCTAAGAACATACTATGTTGGGGGGGGCCATATTATGCTTGTAATATACGGAAGCCCACAATCCCTATAGTCCAATTATTGAGGTCCGTACATTCTACATTCTAGAACCCTTATAGTAAGCCTTATAGAACCCCGCTAATTAGGCAACCCCTACACAAGCAAGACCAAAGCTTAGAGATCTGAGCAGAGTGTGTATATATATATATAATCTATATCTACATCTATATCTGTGTATATATGTACACACATCAAAATATACATATATTTTATTTTTTGGGGCGTTTCTTATTCTGTTTATATTCTTTATGGTAAAAGGGAGCCACAAACCCCATTCTATTTATCAAGGCCTCTACCTAGAAACTGAGAGCCAGGTGGCTCTGTGAGCCCGCGGATGTGGAGCTTCGAGCTGCAGGCGATTTCTGACTCTGACGAGGGAGTTCCAAGGATTGAGGTTTGTGGTTTAGGGGTTTAGGGTTTAGGATTTGGGTTTTCGGGTTTGGGTTTTGGGCTTTTTAGGGTTGTTTGGGGGTTTTGGGGTGTATAGGGGTAGGCAGGACAGGTAGACTATACAGCTATTTAGAGTTCGAAGTGGGTTTTCATCGTTTTTCGGAATTTGTATGCCTTTATAAGTTGACTCGGGTTTTGGGCTATGCTTTAATATGGACACAATGGGATGTTGTTGCTAAGTATTCTTTGCGTTTGATGGGGATCCGGGTTTGACGGGTTGGGTTCTTTTGTTTGGAAGCGGGGGCAGTTGTGTCTTGCATGTGTGTAGGCGTGTTAGGTCATTATGTCATTGTTTGGTGTTTCCTGTTTGTTTAACTTTTACAAAAGAACTAACTATCGTCCTTCAGCAGTTTTGTTAAGCTTTCTGGGTGTTTGTGGAGCTCTAAATGTGGAGATAGGGTCGTTGAGAAGCTCAGAGGTTTTGGCTTGTAAAGGTGCTTACAACTAAAAGTATAACTTGGTTTCTTGTCCATTTCAAGCCTCGGGAGCCTGCACCCTCAACGGAATTGCCAACATGGCCGTATCGAACAGAAGCATTGCTACAGGTAAAATGACGAATAGTAAGTTTAAGGATAGTAAGACGAAGAGAAGATCAGAGAATCACAGTCCGGAGCCCTAACTTTCAGTGTCCAGCCCCACCGGACCTTTGGTAGGGGTACCATGGATCCCCCTAGCAGCCCTTCAACACTAGGACATCGCAGACCCCAAAGAGACCCAGTAGCTGTTCTTAGGAGATTCCAGCCGTGAAGGAGATAGGGTTCAGGGTGTCTCCTTGTTAAAGTTCCGACTCCCCTCAGCTTGTGGACATGTTGGTTCAGGGCGTAGGGTTCAGGATTAGAAGGGATTTGTACGGATGAAGTTAAGGGTTTAGGGTTTAGGGTTGAGGATTAGGGGAGGGTTGTAGGGTTAAGTTAAGGGTTTAGGGTTCAGGGTCCCTACAGGACCCTTGAGCACGGTAGCTAAACCCTAAACCCTAAGCCCTAAACCCTAAACCCTTTGCAGCCTCGTGCGGCTTTCCGGCCGCCACTCTCCTGGCGGCCACGTCGCGCGCCGGTGCCCGGCAAGGCCCAGGAGGTGCCCGGAAACCAGGAAAGAAGACGAAGGGTCTTGGGGGTTTCTGCAGGTCCCCTAACGGAGTCCTCGTGTCGGCGGCTTAAGAATTAGAGTGGGCTTTTCGGTATGTCATAGTGTAGGCATGTTTAGGAATTGTGAGGGGGGGTGTCTTTCATTTCTTTGGCTGATATGAATTACGATCATTACGAAGCATTAACCAGCATATTATGTAGGTTTTTTCCAAGCTTGCCCAGCATTTTCTCAGGCTCAGGGTCAGGTGGCGCCGTTGGAGGCTTCGAGGAATGCTTACGCGACAGAGTTGAATACCTAACTTCGGTCTCCACTACCCGATTTAGCGTTTAGGCTTTAGGGTTTAGGCCCTAAACCCTATAAACCCTATAAACCCTATAAACCCTATAGACCCTATAAACCCTATAAACCCTATACACCCTATACACCCTATAAACCCTAAACCGACCTTTTGGGGGGTTCAGGGTTTAGGCGAACCGACCTTCGACTTGATGGCTCTACTCTTTCATCTCCTGGCAGAAGCTAGGAGGCAAGCTTCTGGGCGTGTCTTCACAACACATTTTTGGCTTGAAGAAACATAGGAGGTGCTTGTGTGGGTTTAGGGTTTAGGGTTTAGGGGTGCTTGTGCGGAAGCATCGGGAGTTTCGTCGAGCTCCTATATCAGATTCTAGATATGTTACCCGAATGTACGAGATAAGGGGCTCTCCGTCTCACACAAAGGTTGAGGAACAGTGAGGGAGCACCGTACAGACCAAAAGCTCAGACTGAAGAGTTCTGTGTGCCACGCTTGAACTTCGGGGTTTAGGGTTTAGGGCTTCAGGGTTTATAGGGTTTAGGGCTTAAACTTCAGGGTTTATAGGGTTTAGAACTTAAACTTTAGGGCTTTGCATAAACCCTTTAACCGTCAATTCAATTGCAACATTAACACCCCAAGTGCCCGGACATTTCCCAACCGACAATCTCGAGCGAAAGTTTCTCTGCAGCTCGAAGCCTCGTGAACGCTTCGAGCAGGAAATAGCTAGCCGCAATGTTCTTGACTCTTCTACACACACCTCGGTTAAGGAATATATTCGTCGAATCATATATATATATATGTATATAGATAGATAGATAGATAGATAAATAGATAGGGCTCCCTATTCTGATTTAAGCAGCATTCCCTCATAGAAATGTCTCCGGCAGACTGCAGGAGAAGCGCTCCGACAACACGGCTGCCTTCCCCAAGGCTCTTCGGGTTTGGGCCCTTTGAGGTCGTACTGTTGATGAAAGAAATCCTGCATTACCATAAAGACCCTAACCTATGGGAATTATGGTATATTCCTTCTTATGGGTAATGCAGGATTTATATCATCAACCGTAGGTTTCAGGTTTGGGCTTTGTGGAGGCCTGGCCCTGGGCTTGGGGTCTGGGGTTTGTCCGAACACCCGCCATGCTCAAGGCGCGAGGTCTTCATACTGTTGATGATATCAATCTTGCATTACCTTAAGGACCCTAATCTATGGGAAGTATTGTATAGTCCTTATTTTGGGTTCATAGTCCTTGGCGGCTACCAGCTTGTTCCTTCCACTGCAGCAGGGTGGCCCTCTTTGAGCGCAGAGGCCGTCCTCGTTTGTGCCCAGAGGATGTTCGGCAACATGGTTACCCATGGAACGATCGACATAATGAATGAACAGAGGCTGGACAGATGTCGGCGGTGAATTACGTGATGTTTTCGCCCGTCACAAGCCAGATGCTTCATCAGACAAGCCCAGTCGGGGATTTTGCGGCCTCTATGCGAGAACTGCTGCCCAGGGTTCTCCTGGAAGTGCCAAACAAGACTGGACTGATCGATCAAGGCACTTGGCTTTCTATTGAAAGACTTAGGTACCCAGCCCCTGTCCATGCTTTTGAAACGGTCTACATGCTTCTCACCCGGTATGCCTGCAATTAATACTGCTGATGGAATGAAAACGTTTTGCATCTCTTGAGCTATCCTAGACCATAGGAACTCTTCAATATGTTCCGCTCTATGGACTGAGCACGATTCTGTCCATCAGCCGGACTTCCCCAGATGCTCCCAGTGTCCTATGTGCCATGTGCGGTGCCTACAACCCAATATTAAGGGGTCTGGGCATAAATGTACCTCTCAAGTACACTAGGGCTGAGCTTTTTGGGCTCAGGTATAAAAAAAACCCTAAACTCCCTGTCAAAACCTTCGAGCATCCAAACTTCAATTGAACACCCGAATTTATGAAGATCCTCTAGTGAGCAAGTGCCACGAGGCCGCCGGCAATGGCAAAGCGCGCTGCTCTGCCAAAGGCGTCGGACCCTGTCATTTTTGTTGGGGCCACTTGGGGGTGGAAGGTTCCTATAAGGGTTTAGGGTGTGAAGTAGGGTTTTAGGGTTTAGGGGTTTAGGGTTTTAGGGTTTAGGCTTTAGGGTTTGGGTTCTATAATATGGGTTCAGGGTTGGACAGGGTATTCAACAGCTGTGTAGGGTTCTTGTAGGGTGCTAGGCCTAAGGGTCCTAGGTATATCCTTGGCGGTGTCGGGAATCTCGGAAAATGCGGAAACACAGCAGATTGCACTAGTGTGGGGGCCTTCATAATTAGAATATATTAGAATAAGCCTTTTTGGGGGGATCCTTATTATACTTCTAGTAGTATACCCCCAAAACCCTATCCTAATTATTGAGGCCCCTATTTCCTCGTGTCGCCAAACCAGCTGCAGGCTGGTCAGCTGTAAGGCCTCTAAATCTAGCCTAATACAGACTTTAATGTTTAGGGCTTAAGGTTTAGGATTTAGGGTTTAGGATTTAGGATATAGGGTTTAGGCTCTAAATCACTCCCCAAGCCGGATGGATGCACGATCACCTTCATCCAACTGTCCAGAGAACCCAATGCCCCTTAATTAAGGAATATGCCTTCAATTATAGGGGCCTTAATTTATTATGATTTATAAGGTATATCAAGGAATATGCCTTAAATTATAGGGGCCTTAATTTATTATGGTTAAGGTATATTCCTTCATTAAGGGGTATTGGGTTCTCTGCGTGCAGCCACTGCTTCCTTACTGGGTTCCATGTAGCCAGTACGTAGCCTTGTCGGACCAGGTCTTCCAACCAATGCTGTGTCCTGGGTGACAGTAGACCTGGGTGCTGGATCGCTGTATCAAATCCCAAACCTTATCTAGATCCCTAATTTTAAGGACCCTGCATAAGCAAAGCTCCTGAAATGCCAAAACCCCCTCACTTTCAGAAGGCCACTCGGATGCCGGACGAGTTTCCGGCAAGGCACCACAACTCAGGGGCTCTTCGGGGTTTAGGGTTAAGGGTGTAGGGTTTAGGGTTTGTTGGTTAAGGGTTTAGGGTTTAGGGTGTATAGGGTTTAGTTTTGGGTTTAGGGTTTAGGGTTAAGGGAAACAGTTGCGGACATAGCAGAGACACTCTCTTCAAAGCCTATCCTACAAAGCCTGCTGAAGAACCTACAAGGTGCATCAGTGCGTCCCCCGACCCTCCATGTAGCGGCTCCAGCAGGTTCCCAGATCATGAGTTCAGGGTTCTAGGCCCTAAGTGCTACCTCAAACTACCAAACCCTACTTTTTTGTAGGTTCTGAATATAAACTCTAATATGGAATTTATAAGGACCCTACAAAAAAGTAGGTTTGGGCAGTTTAAGGTAATTGTCTGAATGATTACGGTTTCTGAAACCTTGACAGTGGACCCTTAGGGTCAGGGCCTTCGTGCACATGTTGGAATGTCGTGTACAGGTTTGCTACTTACTAGTTGTAGCGTTTTACCAAGATTTGTCCAAGACCGTGACGACTTTGCGAACGAACCCCTCGCTTTAATATAGTACGCATTGGTTCATCGTTCCCTTGCGTACTTTGGTTTGTCTGTTGTGATGGTGTTGGGTTTGCCGTTTCTTGGTGGGTAAAGGTTGTGGGGTTGGACATTGAAGCCCAGCTAATTGCAGCTAATTAATTACTTATTGACTTGTCTAGGCGGATTACTGCAGCAAGGTTAGAGAGGTGTGTGTGTGTGTATCAAACAGCGTTTCCTACCGTCATATAACCCCAAAACCCTAAATCCCAAACCCTTGACCCTAAGGCCCTGAACCCTAAACGTTAGATCCTATAGACCCTAACCCCAAACCCGAAGTTTGATCCCTAAACCCTTAAGCCCCTTAAACCCCTAAACCCCTACAAACCAAAGCCCCAAAACCTAAACCCTAAACTCTAAACCTCATAGGAGCTGGGCTTCTAGAGCGCAGAGCCTTACGCTTCCGGACGCAGGTGTCGCACATATCGTGGGGGGACCCAGCCCTGTATCCGAATGATGCAAAGAGGGTTTAGGGTTTAGGGTTAATCACAAGCCGTCAGTTATCCAAGTGATGTTGGGTACCATATTATCCTACATAGTTTGTTTTTTTGGTTTCGAGTTTCGGGAGGGGTTTATGGGAGCCGTAGTAGTTTGAATAGGGCTCCTTCAACGAGTTTCTATCGGGGTCTATGAGTCTAAGGCTTAGCACAGGGGCATTGATCAGCAAAACAGGGTTGCGGGGCTCCTGTAAAGGTGTTCTATAAACGTCACTGCAATGGCCTTAACAATTCCAGTGGTGTCTTGGAGTACATTTATACAGCGTCGTTGTATAGTATAGGGACCATCAGGGACGATTGCCGTGAGATTGCAGCTGAAATTTCAGACGTCTATAGTACCTGCTTTTAGGTTTGGGCTCCTGAGGACCGAAGAAGCTGCATTTCACTCTCTCAACGGCAACCAACGAAAGAATCCAAGTACCTTAAGGACGAAATGGTCCTTAAAAGTAGGGGCCAAAAAACCCTAGGTACTATGAATTCCTATATGGTATATGAGCCTTAAACCCCTTTAGGGTTCATTTCGTCCTTAAGGTACCTAATGACCATCCCCCACCTTCCAAGCTTTCAGCTTTCACGCCCCTGAACGAAACCTGACAAAACCGTTTTGGATCCGATAAGCGAAGGCAGCCCCCCCCCCCCCGGTTCTCCCTCCTTTCCCCGGACGCGCATACCCGAGAACTGAACTCTCGATCCCTGAACCTAAACCGCTGAGACCTCCAAAGCCCCAAAAAATCAGATGCTCACCCCCTAACTCCCCCAACCTGCAGCCTTGAATCCCTAACCCCCTCAACGTTCAACCCTATATGGCCGGAAATCCAAAGGCCCTAAAAGACTCAGAACCCCTCAACCTTACATCCCAAAGTTCAAGGTTTTCCGTAGCCATTTTGGGCTCAATCTTGTCGTCCGTCGCCTGTCCAATTTCAGGCTATGGCGACGAGTGCCCGGCCCTCGCAAGTGGCCCCTCCTAGAGTCCTCGGCAAAAGCTGGGTCGCACTCGGAGGGCCATCATCACAACCGCCACGAGTGGCACCAACCAGTTGGAATTCAGGGGTAAAGGCTTTAGAAGGGGGCACCTTTTGTGGTGCGTCGGGGAAAAGCCCGGCAGAGCAGATGCACGCAGCAGTAGCAAGGACGTTCACACGGCCTTGCCGCTGAGCGCTTTAGTGTGAAGGGCTTGGGGCGATTGGGTTGTTAACAATCATGTACACATTGGGCACGGAGGTGCTGTTTCTGTGGTGGTGGGGGGCAATCAGCTTAGCAATCAATGTTGTTGTTTTGACTTTTCCGTGTGGTGTGTTTAGCAACAAGTCGTAAGCTTCAATTGGTTCCTCCAGTGAGTATTGTTGAAAGGTGGACTTTCTGCTGCAGATGTCAGTCTTAAGATCGTGATCTGGAGCTCCCCATAACTCCGACCACATCTGCGTCTTGCTAGTGCTATTTTTGTTGATGCAATTCACTGACTGAGACTCCAGGTTCTGCTCTTCCATCCCCCGAAAGTGAGATCAACAGAAATCGGTCATTGTGATCTCAATCCGGATCCAACATAGAGGCTTCCGCCGGTAGCATGACGTCTGATTCATCGGTCGTGCAAGCTGCGACTCTGAATTAATTCATCAGGATGCATGATAATTTTTGTGTGGCTGGTGCTGCAGAAAGCCTTGGTGCCCCTGCCTGAAGATGCTTGGTGCCACAGCGGTGGGGTTTAGGGCCTTCATAGCAGCGGCAGCAACAGAATTCCTGCTTCATTTAGGGCTTTTGAAATTTTGCATTTCCGTCACCTCTGGCTTCGAGTCCATGTTCGCCCCCGGGGCCCAGTGCTTGTCTTGGCTGGGTGGGCTGGTGCTGGAAAGGGTGTGGACCCCCGGGGGCGGCACTAAGAGTCTTGGGCGACTCGAGGAGCACCCCCCTTTCCCCCACCAAGTGGCACTGGGGCGACAGTGCCGTTACCTATCGGACGTATCGGTGGGTCGACATCGTGTCTTTGGGTGATATGCCATCTTTTTTTCGTTTCGATTACGACGGCGACGATGATAACATGATAACGACGACTTTTCTACTGCTACTACTGGGTGCGGCATGTGTTCGTCAGAGATGAATGTAATGCTGGTTGCATGGTGTTACGGTCGTGCGGCGTCCTATGTATATGCCGGCTTTTCCACACCTACAACATGCATCGAAAGCTCGTTTGGACATGTTGGACATCATGCATGGGGTCACGGGCATGAGGGCGTCCAATGCATATGTGAGTTATGTGAGGTATTCCACGCTGACCACAAGCGTTGGCAGCTCGCTTGATTCCCGCTTTGCCACGGGCTTTCTTCCAGGGATGTGCCTCTGTGCCGTTTATTGCTGCGGCAGCCTGGTATACTTGTGATACTACTTTATTGGACCTGCTTGGTGGCGTGCTCGCCCTCGGTGCTCTTTGGGGTCGCCCTTGTGTGTGCCCTCTGTGCATGGAGCATCACTCCCTCGGCACTGGCCGCACGGCTTCGCCCCCTTGATGCTGTTTGCGTCTGCCGACTACTTGCTGTATCTTTGGTGCATGCCGGAATTATCTTTTTTGTTCAAACCCAATTCATTCCTGGCCCCTTGTTCCTCGACCGCTGAAAATTTTTCCCAGGTGTATCCTATGGGCTATGTTTTCACAACTTTTTGGGGGTTGCACACCGTACACCATGGTTTAACGCAGTGACCTGTCTGCCTTGGCTAATTCTCCCCCACTTGAACTCTGTGACGGAGGGGGGGCTATGACGTTTCCGGAGCCCCTCTGAGATGTTGAGAGGGACGTGGGAGGCAGGCCGCACCGTAAGTGCTGCTCGACGCTCACTCACTCACTCACTCACTCACTCATTCAGAGTTCAAGCTTTAAGGTTTAAATTTAGGGTCAGGGGACCCTAAACCGTAAACCCTCAACCTTAAACCCTAAACTCGATAGATTCCCTCAGCGTTACTTCCCAAAGCCTGAGCCTTGAGCCTTTGAGTGCCTGGTGCTTGCTTTGCATAAGGTCCAAAGTGACGGTGGAGAGGCCAAGGGTTGAAGAATCCCAAAGGGCCCAAGTAGCAGTATCGTATGTATGTATGTATGTATGTATTTGTGTGTGAATGTATGTATGCATGTATGTATGTATGTACGCATGTATGTATATAGAGAGAGAGTGTGTGTGTGTGGGTGTTGGGCCTAAATATCTATTCGGAGACCGCCAGAATGATACTTGGACCCTTTGGGACTATCCCCTCATAGAGTCATAGAGGGTTCATGTACGGGTTTCTCAGAGAGCTTGGGTTGTCACCAAGTTTTTCTTGGGTGTTATAAGGCTTCGATAGGGTTGTTTGATACTTCTCGTTATAACCCTCAGCCCTAAAGCCCTAAGACCCAAAAACCTCAGTCG